ACCCACGTAAAAGCAACGACGGTCATTCATACCGCGAGCACCACAAGGCCAAGCAAGTTACGTCGTTCATAGGACCCTTTCTCTTTTTGAAGGGGCAGGTCTTGGGGACTGGTCAAACCTTCGCTGCACACTTAAGAAGCCCTGCCTAATCTCGCCAGCTGCAGTCCAAATAAAGCCAACCTGGCATTTCACATAGCGATGCAGGAGACCGGAGCTGCAACCAGCCGGGAAGGCAGGAGATGCAGTGGTGCACCTCGGACTCAGCAGCTCGGCTCAGTTCGACTCTGCAGGAACCAAGTTCACCACCAGCCCGGCTGGACGCGCTGGATGCACTATGGCCTCGAAAATGGCTGTGAATGCTGACACGATGCGATACAACGCCAGCAAGACCCGGGCCAGTGCACACGGCCGACGGACTCTTCTGATCCACATAGCCCGTTACCGTGCTCACTTCACCTGCAGATATGCAGCACACTTCCTATCTATGCCAATCACGATGAATGGCGAAGCACCCCGCAAGAGCTGCACTTCACCGACAGTCGGAATATGGACGCATGCACATGCCGCACCTCCACCGAGGTCAGATGTCAGTTCGAAGACGCACGTCGCGCTGTTATCACAGCACCTTAAGCTAACTGTGAAGAAAGGCTCCGAAACAGCACGACAGCAGTTAAAGCACGAACCATAGGCCAGATTGCTTCATGTTTGCTCCGGCCTTGCCTTTGAGTGCAAGACAACAGGCAAGTCATCTAGGTGTCTCGACATGCTGTTCAACGGTGCTCAGCACATCACCTTCAAAGCATCATGTCGCTTGCTTGCGTCCCTACTTGTCTGGGAAACTGAGCCCTCCAACCCTTTCGCCTGGAGGGACGGATGCAGGTACACGTGCCGCTGCAAATCAGACTCTGTGTCACGCAACACGGTCGGTCGACATCTTGCACGCATGCTGTGATTGAAGACAACTGGACAAATGAGTTCCCGACTCAACATGGCATGCTTCCAGATACTTCTCACAAGGCGTCTTGCCTCACATCTCACAGCCAGCTGTCCCGAGAAAAGGCATGTTTGCCCCTGTCTTGCGATCCTGCCTACGAAGGCATCATGTGGGGTTACAGTACGGTCTAAGATTGCAGCATCATGCAGCATCATTGCAGAGTCACTGCAGAGAAGAGTGACTCACGATGCATGTGACGCAGAACCACGGATGCTATGCCAAAAAACGCTGCTCTCACTGGCATGGAACGTGCGCTCCCGAGCTTGTAGCTGCCAAGTTGCAGGGCTTCAAGTACGGTATCTGAGATCCACTTTTGCAGCCGGCCTCTTCAGGCAAGTCGCTTGAGTGTCTCCTGTGTATCAAACTCAGGCTGGCACGCAGAAGCACAAGAGGGCCTGATTTTTCGGAAAATACGTGTAACAAACCATCTCGTAGATCTTGGACACCTGCACCGCGGATCCAGGCCACGTCACGCACATGCGCTCAACTCCTGAGAGCCACCAGCACCGAGGCCCAAACGCATGGATCAAGGTCTCGGTCTTCCTGGTGCTTGAAGTCCCAAGCCTGACAGGGGCTGTATGCTCTTTCTCTCTCTCTTCTAGGCTCTTGGAAACTGTCCCAGCTGCCTCATAACCAAGGGCTCCAAGATGATAAACAAACATAGTAGATGCCTGCAGCGCATGTCTTTAAACCGTCTCGGTATCTGCGATCTGCAAGTTGCAAGATGTTTCTTATGAACGGTGTAACCTTACTTAGGCTGCAACAGCCGAATCTTGTGCTTGCACAATTGCATCCAGTGCCTCAGCGCAAACCAACCGGCCAAAGCTGGTCCGCAAATTCGATGCGCAAGAGTAGCACAAATATATACATCGATACTCATACGCATATGGTATACATATATGCATCCACAAATGTATAGGGATCAATTCTGGTGGTGCATGGATGCTTATATTCGATGCACACCCAGGATGACTGGTGTCGAACAGAGCTACGGTTGATGTGACTACAACAACCTCATAGGATTGAATTGTGGAGAAACTGTACTTGTGCCTGTCTGCGTGTATGTGTGCATAAATGCACGGATGCGTGTATGCATGCATGCATGTATGCCTCTGTGCACGCATTCTTGTAACAGCCTGTATGCACGTCTGCATGTTTGCATTGTCTGTCTGTGTCTGTCTGTCTGTCTGCCTGCCTGCCTGCCCGCCTGCCTGCCTGTCTTTCTGAAGACGCACGTACGTTCGTACATAGCTATGCACGTAATTATGTACGATTGTGTATGTGGAATGTATGTATGTATGCACGTACGTGTGTATGTGTGCATGTGTGAACTGTATTTAGGTACGTGACGTACACACCTGTGTACATGTATATTGATACAAATACACATATACATATTCACATGTGGATATGTTCGTATATGTGAGCGTGTAAACATACGTAGATAGATGCATGCATACATACATACAGACATACATACCTACATGCACACATACATACATACATACAGACATACATACCTAGCTGCATACATACATACAGACATACATGCCTGCATGCATACATATATGCATACATACATACGTACATACATACATACATACATACATACACACACACATATATGTATGTATACATACACATGTAATCATCTGTATATACATACATATATATATATGTATACATACTACATGTATAATTCTGGTGCAGCAAGTACGGTGTTTATAAGTATCTATGGCCCCTCCTTCCATTTCGGCACTGCTGTACTGTCTGGAACCATCACATGCTTTCAAATCAGGCGAAGTAGATAAGCTCAAGCAACGTTGATAAAACTCTAAATCCTGCATCACAAAGCCTACAAAGCCACGCGTACTGAAATCTCTCTGTCTGTTCAAGGCAGCCCAACATCTATCCTGATTGCCTACAGCGTTATCGATGCATAATCTTTGCTCAAGCGCGTGTTACCCCACTACAAAGCACTGTTTCTTCTGTGCGTTCCGCATCATTGCCGGAAAACGCAGTCTGAAAACAAACCCTCGAAGCTTCTGTGCCTAAGCGTTGATGTCTTGATTACTTGCACCTATCATCCTGACAATTCAAACTTCCTGACTGACCGGTTGCAGCCCCAACACCTTTCAAGTTCTACAAATGTTTCTACAGCTTTATCAAAGCGCCCACAAAAAAGAAAAACAACTGCTATGGAGCCCTGAATACAGTTTGCACGGATCATCGCCACGTGATTGGTCCTAAACACTTGACATCGACATGATGGCATAGTGCAGTGGCGACACCCTCTGAATGTATGTGCGCAAAACTTGTAACAGCCAACGGCACAATCCACCTCCGCAACATTGCATCTAGCCGACACATGTACAACACCCTGCTCACCTCAAGCCAGTCTTGCTGATCTAGAAACATGTTCATGCAAGAATGCATCAATTCAGATGGGATGCTACAGCTAGCTCGTCTGTCCACAAACATAGCTTTGTTGCGCACGGCATAATGCCGGTGCCGTGCAGCCCGGTTTAATGATCTTCCCTCTGCGGCGCCGTCACTGCAGGTAGAACACGTCACCCCTGTGTGGGCTGACTTGGCTCCCGGCTGTGCTCGCGTTCTCTGGCGAGGGGACGGCCGGATCGTAGTCCACAGCTGCCTTCCAATGCACAAAGAGCACACCCCCGACACTGGAAGCTTCAAAAGAAATGCAGTGTCCCTGTCTGCACAGATCTCAGGCCAAGGCCCGACAAAAGTGCAAGTATTCCTGGACCACACCAGGCTCGGAGCACTGCCACACCTAGGTGTCAGCAAAATCGGCCAAGAATCCTAGGAGGCAGTGGAAAGACTGAAAAAAACCATGCACTGAGTTTCCCACAAGGCCTCCAAGCCGTGGCAGATCATTCAAGCCGGGAGTCAGTGGATTCACACACCTGCAAAAGCAGAAGACATACTTGCAATCCTCTTCGCTTAGTTCGCGCCGTACGTGCATGGCTGAGAACACACATGCAAACGTCGCGGACTTGTGCCGAAGCTGCGAAGCAGCTCCACGCCGTTCCCCGAATGCCGAGCAACCGATCAGACTACAACGCATAGGACTGAGGTACAAAATGGCTGAGAGACAAGAAGACTAAGTTCACGAGCCGAGGATGGGCCCGGTCCACTTCCGGCTCTGTCGCTTTGTGGCCTGTTCTTGATGCAGATCGGGTTGTTTGTGTAGATCACATCACCTCGTCTTCGTCAGGCACGAAACGGAGGCAACTATCAACAATCGACGCGAAAGTTGCATCTAACCTACTTCGATCAGCTCAGCAGCCATCCCCTCCGGACATGCTTACCTGCGGAGCAGGTGCCGTCGCGGTTAGCACACAGTCTCAAGAAACCCATCTGCATGCCAGCAGCCTGTGTGCTGCTGGTCACGACAGCCAGCAGCAACAGCAGCTCCATTCGCACCAACGTCATGATACCTCAAATGCCAAGGAAGCACAAATCTGTTCACCTCAACACCTCGCTGTCCTGTGTCGGAGTAAACTCTGCTGTACTCTGCCCTGCTCGCTATCCGACCTACCATATGCTACTTAGCCGTGTCCCAGAAGCGATGCACCAAGGCTCTGGGGTGCCGCAGCCAAGGCACGTGTCGATTTTTCGGTAAGTCAAAGTTCGTTCACCTCGCCGTCGATTCAAGCGGGAGAGTCACCGAAACACGCTTGATGCTCTATGAGTATCAGCTTTGATAAGCATTAAACTTCACCAAGCGGCTATCTGAAGTGGCGAGAGGCTTTCTGCCTCCATTTATGGAGAGAGGTCTACCCCCATAACGAGCCACCACGGGCTGCCGGAAGCGCGCATTCTCAACGTGCAGGAAGTTGGAGCAGCAGAACAGGGATCGTCCAATAGCAGCGCCAGCATGTTCTAAGCCTGACCTGTCTGCAACAAGAAAGCCAAATAAAGAACCGTGCTGAGGTGTTGGACATCCACTTCTGCACTGATCTGGCAGTACGTGTCCCGTGTCCTTTCCAGCCTTGCCTTTGCCTTCGGTGGCTCCCTGTGTGGGTGAACAGCACTCTGGAGCGACATGTGCTCTGATCCGGAAGAACCACATAAACCAAAAAGCACTCACGCAGGATACTATCTTACAGCTTACACAGAGGTCGAATTCAGCAGCTGTGACAGATCCTGTGGTCTCGAAAATCGCCTAAGGTCGGTGAATCCAGGCATTCCAAGGGTGGGCATACATTTAGGGTGGGCATACATTTCACGCCTTCTTCCCCTTGCCAGTCTCAAGGGCCTGCACATGAAGCAAGATGAAGCAAGACATCGTCACGGTGATATGAAGCCACGCCTTTCCACCTTTGCCCTTATCCGTGTCTTTGCCACCTGAGGCACTCCAGGCAAATGGCTTCCGTGTTGGACACCCCAACTCTGGAGGCGGCCTTTGCCTTTGGAGCCTTTCTCCTCGTAGCCTTTCCCGGCTTTGCCAACTTTGCCTGAGCTTCTTCAACCGAATTGCCACCTCCGCAAACGCTTCACGCTGCATGTTGCCTTTGTCTTGGCTTTTGCCGTAACCTGCAATCGCAGGCCAATGCGCGGATGAGCATTGGTTTCACTCTTGCAACAGCACCGAGCAAGGCTGCATGCACAAAGCTAATCGGTTGTCTGCCAGTCCTGGCCTTTGTCGTAGCCATAGCCTTTCTCGTAGCCCTTGTCCTGGGCCCATGCGCACAAGAAGATGCGCGCAGAAGCTATGGATGCCTTCGAAAACACAGCCCTTACAAGTTTGAGACGGGTGCGTAGCTCTTCTCGTACCCCTTTTGGTAGCTGTCCCATCCCTTTCCTGCACAAGCTCGTCTCTACACTATCATTAAAACATATCCGAGCACTACGAAGGCCACAGCCAGCCTGTGCCAGCACCTTTGTCACCTTTGCCCCAGCCCTGCTGCACACTGCCACCGTACCTGCGATCAAAGTGAGCGCAGTCTTGGAGTGACGGCAAAGGAGTCGCAAATGAAGAAGCTTTCACGTTGCGGTGCTGTGACCTCATGACTGCGCACCAGGTGCTTTCTGCGGCTGGTCGCGCTTTTCCTCCCTTGGCAGGTGCACCCCAACCTCGACAGGAGTCTAACCCAACGAAGAGTGCTCTGATTCCTTCCCAACACCCGCCTCCACTACTCTCGCCGTATCCGTACGAAGAACCTTTGCTGGCTGCCTTGCCAGATAAGGCACAGGGCCCGTGGTTGCACAGAACTCCTTCGGTGAGATCTCAGAGGCCTTGCCCAGCGCTTCCAAAGGTCCAGGGCCACCGGCTGGCTTCTTCATGGACCTGGGAAGCCGCCAAGGCGACGATGCAGGGGCGTTTACCGCTTGCCATCACACCCGAGCCCACATGCTACCAGTGGATGTCTAAGCTGTGAGCATGATGGCTGGATCGTTCAAATGGGGCGATGCTCCGCCGGCGCCACCTGACCATACCCCCACACACACGCTCGTCTACTGCGCCAAGCACTGTACTCTCACTTTTCATGGCACTTTTCATGTCCTCGGGAGCCGGTGAAGCTCTTTTCTCGTTCTGAGGATGAGGCTGCCTTCCAACACGGTCAGGTCCTTGATGTCCTCGTGCAGATCATAGCTGTAGCAAAAAGCCACGAACATCCGTGGGTGGGTGTCCGTGGCAACAGATGGAAGCAGATCAACTGTGGCAAGCGCGAGATACCCGACAGCTCCAAATTGGAAAAGTTATGCTTCAAAGACAATCTAGCCGAAGATCGAACGCATCAGTTGTCCAGTCCTCTTGTCAGCCGACTACAAAACACAATCCTTTCGGTTTGCCCCAGTGCTCTGTGCAATTCTGCACATGCGCCTCTTGTCCTGTACCGACCCCACATGGGTGTGCTTTTCTGGCTGTCCCGCGAGGGACGGCCTGGTGAGGAGCAAGTTAATGCTCTGCTGGGAGGCAAGGAAACTGCCTCGATGCCCATGTAGATCATCAGCACGCGGCATGTCGAGAGCTTCAACAAGCAGATAATACTACAAGGCGAGTCCGAAAAAACACCATCCCTGCATGGAATCCCGGTCCTGTCCGCGGAAGATAATGAAGTCATAGATTTCACTAGAGGGAGGGATCTCCGGCACCTGACACCGTCAGTCATGTTGTGCTGCAAGCACCCTCTGCTGCTGTCACGAGAGACAAACAAGAACAAGAAGAAGCCACCATGTCCGCGTGCACCTTTCTGCCCTCGGTGCCGAAAGACCGTACGGACCTGCAAAACTAAATGAAAGGAGGCATGAAGGCATGAAGCAGATGCATTGCATTGCCAGGCATTCACAACTCACTGATAGTTCGACTTGGCAGGTGACTGTAGGGCAATGGTGGACTCCTGCGTGTTGATGGTGTACAGGATGCCCTCACATCCGGAATGTATGAGCACTCCGAGCATCGCAACGCAAAACAACAGCCTCGTACCGGATGTTTGAATTTGAAATCAAGCTGATCTTGCTCCCAATGTACCTGATCAAGTCGCAAACACATTGGGGGCGTGGATATACACTCGAATACGCACATCCAACACGTGACCTTCAACAGTAGCACGGAAGGCCTGCACTCATGTTGCTGCATGATCCCGTTTGCTTCCAGTACCAATCACACAAATGGGGCACGGGATCGTGCTGCTGGCCATGGTGCCGTGAACTGTTGCACTCCTGCCATGTTACCAACAATGTCAGTGCGGACATGAATCTCGCCAGGTCCGAACTTGTCGGTCCTGGAGTGGGGCCTTCGTACCGAGGCCCTGCCCCCCTCCCTCACAGCAGCTGCAGAGCCAAGTCACCAAAAGCTGCTTTTTCGACGAGGACGATAGCTGTGTCTTGACACTTGATGCAGCAGTTGTGTCTGAGCCTCTCTCGATCAGCCTGAATATGTCGGACAACAACCACTTTCTTTGCCGTGCTGCCACACAGCTTTGAGCTGGACTAAGTAATGTCTAATCAATGGCATCTGCCATTGCAGCACAATCGAGGCTCAGGGCAATACGATACATGTGAATCAGACTGCGTTTTCGATACCGACTGAACTTTGGCCTGCAAGCGCTACTCCATAGCACTACATGTTGACATCCTCTTCATCGCGAACCAACATGAACGGATGAGGCATGGTGTTCCAGTACTCGATGGTTGTACAACAAGACACACTGACATTTCACGCTTCGGGTTTAGTGCTTGGGGCTTGGCATTCGGAGTTGAGGGTAAGGGACTGGGATTTCAGTCTTGACTGACCTTGCAACACGACCCCACGAACTCTCGCGGTCGCACCTTTTCCGCCATCCCTTGCTGAGCCATACTGCAGGTTTCTTAGTCACATCTCGCTGCTAAAACCATGTCATTAGAGGCACTCGACATCCCGGCCGCGATGTCAAGACACTAAACCGATGGCTTAAACGGAAAGCGGTTGTGAAAACAGATGCTCAGCTCAGGTGCTCAGTTTGCGGTGTCGAAGGTCCAGCCACCCGGGAGCGTCGGACTGGCAGGCGCTTTGCTGCTGCTGGATAGCTCCGCCACTTCCCAACGCTCCCAAGCCCACCATGAGTGTTTATCTACCAACTCAGCTGGCGAGCAATGGCCACTGGCGTCGATACCATTTTCGTTTGCTCTTAGGAAGCGGTTGAAAGAAGGGTTGTGCAGCGCGATCTGGCCGTCACCGAGCGGCACCACCACGAACCTTTCCCAGTTCCAGGTCTCCGGGAGCTCATGGGCATTCAAGTGGGCCGACACGTGGGACTTGCCGTCATCCCCAACCGCCACGAACCGGTGCCATTTTGGGCTCCAGAGTGCAATCTCGCCATTGGCCTGTTCCACCACCTCGAAAGTCAACCAATGATCACCATCACGAATATTTGACGGTGTAAGCCCCTCGTGATACGGCCTGTCCAGGTAGTTGTTGTGCATTCGCAGCCAGCTGTGGTGATGTCGTGAGTACAGGGCTACTCTCGAGCCTGGCTTCAGGTAGGGCTCGACAACCTCAAAGTGGAAGAGCTGATCGTTCCACCAGTCGAGCAAGCTCTCGGCGTTCACCTTGCCACTCACATACGGCCACCCGTCGTGAGTCACCGACACGAACACGTTGAACAGCTTGTTGTGCAGTCCAAACCATCCCCCGACTGAAGTGACCACTGTGAACCTTGTGTTGCGCCAACTTCGATGCCACTGGCTAGGCGCGGCAGGATGACCCCAAAGCCACTTTTCGGAGATGGTCAGGAAGCGCCCTGTTTGCTCATTGTACAGTGCAGTGCGACCTCCCCACTTCCTGCATCCACCACCGTCCAACGTTCGCGATCGCCGTGATGAAGGTTGGAGCTCGTCATGTGCGTGCCAGGACCAATATTCAGGTACCTTGGCGACTACATCAGCCTTACGAGGCTCATGTTGCATGACATGCCGCATGCTACTCAGAATTTATCGTGGCATAAGGATAACTTCACCACGATTTGGTGTGCGAAGTACCGGTTGGAGGCACGGTTCTTGATCACGATGCTCGAGCCAGGCCTGAGGACGACAGGCCGCGGAGGTGCTGGCACGTCTTTGGTGGCGAAGTCCTTGAGGGCATTGAGAGCCTTGTCTCTGCTCAGTGGGGCCACAAAGGGAAGTGCGTGCAGCACCACGGCAAATTGATCCACAATGTCCACCATCTTCAGCCTAGGCAAGGTCATATAAGGAGTTCGTATACATAAGACAAGGTATTAGACATGGACATCCTATAGGTATACATGCACATTATATATGTACAAATCTGCGTATGCATGTGCATGCGGTGTATATAGACTAAAATGACTAAAAGACATATGTTATACAAAGCCACAAATGTCATCTGTAATCGAGTGTGGGTGTACGTATGTGTACATGTGTGTATATGTATATATCTGGAAGTTCAACAGCAACAAAGACGGCGCATATTGCCATTTGCACTGACCGGCAAAGCTGGACGATGAAGAAACAGCTTCGAACGGCTTTTCTATTACTACTTGCCATCTTCGCTTACATCATCCCAATCCTTGCAAGCCTCACGTTGCTTTTGCCCAGATGCACCTCAAAGGCAAATCCTGAAAGAAACAAGCTTGAAAATCAAGTATAGGCGCATGTCTCGCAAACACATGCTGGACGTGTGCAGCTACCTAACTACATACATATACATATGTATATATGTGTATATATACTGTAAGGACACATTACGTAACTTAGCATACATACATGCATGTAAATATAGACATACACATACACACAGACACCCATCCATCCATCCATCCATCCACACATACGCATCTGTAATTACAAGCATACGTACATAGACACATACACACATGTATATGTGTGTACATACGTACATACATACATACAAAAAAACATCGCTGATGCTTGTCGTCTGAAGCTGGGTTGTGATCGCATGTGATCGCGGCATGTTCCCGCCACTTACCGAGCCAAATCACTCGATCCGATGGCGTCACGTTGACGGCTTGGGTACAGCACCAGATCCCCGACATTGGGCATGTTGCCCCGTTGACCGACTCGGGGCCAATTAGGCATCTGTCCCTCGTGCTGGTCTCGCAGCGGCTGCAGGGTGGGATCCAGAGAAAGCACGATGCCATCCAAGCGAGGCTTCCCACGTTGGCCGTGCATAGATAGATAAATGCATACATGCATGAATGCATGCAGGCAAGCAGGCAAGACATGCATAGGTAAACGTATACATACATTCGTACATACACACTGAATGCTAAGGAAGGTTTCGGTATGCGACGGACCACCTGATGTCCAGGTCTCAAGCGACCACACATCAGAGACTTCGGACAGGTAGCTTCATGGACAGCAACTGCAAAGATGAAGTGCAGAAAGTCTGTGGCGGACACCTCAACCTGCCTAACTAAACCACAACGCCAGCCTGAACCCCAACGCACCGAAGGACACGGCAAGGACTGAAGAGGTGGACACTGGCACTGAGCAATGCTGGAAAGTGTACGCGCTAAACGGGGTTCTCGGCTTAGCCCCAGGCCATCCAGAAACCAGCGCATACCAGACGACATGAACTCAAGCACTGACTGTTTCTGAAGTGATACCATAGCTGCAGGAGAACGACTGGTTGGGGTTCTCGGCTTAGCCCCGGGCCATACCCGTTAACAGCAGCAATACGCAATACGAAGAATAACCAATACACAGCGTAAGTCCATGTACTGCGTCACAAGCAAAGTGCAGGTACGTGGTCAAGGCGTCCCCCGACCATATCCTGGTGTGTGACTGGAGCTTCGTTGCACCAGGCCAAGCCACACACCCCTGGTGCCCCTGCTGTGTAATCTGCACTCAAGCCCCTGCTGTGTAATCTGCACTCAAGTTCAGTTATATGTACATCGTAAATAGGAAATGGCTGCAGAGCGTGAGGAGAAGGCCCTTGGATACAGGGTTGTCACACACACACCCCGCCGTAGCGGGGTGAATTAATCAGACGAAGACGGTGAGCATGTAGAGCAGGTAGAGCCATCGGGTGAACTTGCAGGATCTGGCAGCGGTGCAAGGCAAGTCGATGTAGAACTTCTCGAAGAGGAGTTGGCAATTCGTGTCTTTGAAAGTGACGTCGATCAACATGACGAGCGTAGACTCTAGGTGCAAGTAGACCAAGACAAAGTTGCCAGCGATGACGCAGTATCAGTTGACTCATGTTGCAATGTAGTCGACGGTCGGCGAGAAGTAGTGCGTGAAGTACACTCGGAGATGGTGCAGTTGTGAACATGCTGTACTGGTAACCGCAAATGTCCGGGTCATAGTAATCCAGTCGTTGGAAAGAAGGGTTGAGTTGACAAAGTCCGTGGAGGGTGTCGAGGTAGTAGCGGTTCTGAGATGTGGTGAATCGGTGTTGCGATATCACAAAGCGTGGGTCAAGGAGGGTGCTAGGGATCTGGAGATCGGGGGAGGTCATCGGACGAACTTGCCATACTCGGAGCTCCACCAGGTAATCAAGCCACCATTCCAAAGGAATGTCGGATAGGTGCGAGGCCATGAGTGTACGGGCGACGAAAGGAAGGAAAGGAGAGGCGGAGGACTAACCAAATATTGCTGAAAGGGCTGCGGTGGAGCAAAATGACCAGGGTCAAGATGTGCAAGTGAGGGTCTTTGTCTCAAAAATTGCCGTCCGTGTCCTCCAAAGCTTCACCGTCTCAGAGCGGGAAGAAGACCATGTCGTTGTTGTTCTTGTTGCCAATAAGGATTGTCCGTAGCGATGGGTGGAGGAGGTGAATGGCGGCGAGAAATCGTAGGTGTCCATTTGGAAAAGGAAAGGCAATGCGCTGAACACCAGCATGTGGTAATCCAGGGTCCAGACGAAGTAGGTCGCCACTGTGCTAGGGTAGGGTCTCGAATACGGACACGTAGGCAAAGTCGTGATGCAGAACGTAGGTGGACGTGGGCTCGCCAACACAGTTGATTGCAGAATACAATGACCGAGGGCTGATAGTGATAGATCGTGAACACCGTGTTGTCGTGGTGGAAGCCAAAGAAGTTGTGGGCGCTCATCTTGTGATCTTGAAGGGCGGCGAGGAACTGTTGCCAAACGCCATATTGGTGCCAGGAACAATCGCCGTGATGTGCGGTCAAAATGGAGAAGGCGGAACGAGTGGTGTGGCGGTCGTCAGTGTGTGGA